GACACACTACCCAAAATATGGGCACTTTTTGCATATCAAAATATTTGAAATGACAAAAGTTGAGAAACCCGCAGAAGCAGGAAGTCTCCTCGACCTTCCCATGCCTTTACCCCATGAAGTGGGATCATAGAACCTGGGAAGAATGTTCTGAGCAATCCCTGAAGCTGGGTCCGTAAGAATGCTCACATGAGAAGGAACCTTCTCGATACTATGGAAAGGATAGGGAGCATTCTTTATCTCTGAAGGCCACCAGAACACAGAGAGAATCTGACAAACAGGCCTTGCCAGTTTCCCCCAATTCATTACCAATTAAATTAATATCTTTTTGCCTGTCAACATTTACTCCATGATTCTCTGCTCTTCATTAAACCTACCATTAAAAACCTCAGCTTAACATTGTCTTCGGGTCTTCATGTACTTTATGGAAGGCTCCCCGTTCATGTAAAACACATATGAATAAGTGTGTATTTTTCTTCTTCTTAATCGTCTTTTGTATAAGGGACCTCAGCCATAACCTAAGATATGGTAGAGAAAAAAAATGCTTTTTACCCCCCTACGTGGTTTCTGGCAGCTCATCTGATTTGGTGCACCTTTGGGTTCCAGAACCTCACAGCTTTAGGGCAACGGTGGGTGAGGGCCAATATCTGTCACTACCTTAACAGAGTAGATTGCAGGTAAAGTGGTACATTTGCTTTTCAAATAAAGTAAGAGATAGAGACTGGACAATTTTAAAATAGGACTTCTTTTGTCCAGAAGCTAGCTCCTTCTTTTTTTTTTTTTTTTTTTTTTGAGACAGAGTCTCCTTTGTTTGCCCAGGCTAAGTGAGTGCATGGCGTCAGCCTAGCTCACAGCAACCTCAAACTCCTGGGCTCAGCAATCCCTCCTGCCTCAGCCTCCCGAGTAGCTGGGACTACAGTGCCATCGCACGATGCCCGACTAATTTTTTGTATATATATAGTTGGCCAATTATTTCTTTCTATTTATAGTAGAGACGGGGTCTCCTCTTGCTCAGGGCTGGTTTCGAACTCCTGACCTAAGCAATCCGCCTGCTCGGCCTCCAGAGAGCTAGGATTACAGGCGTGAGCCACGCACCCCGGCCTCATAGCTCCATTTTAACTGTCACCTAATTGTCACCCTACAACTTTTATTAGTTTGTAGGCTGATACCAAGCAGATGTGACAACCGTTGGAAAGCGCCACCACCCACCCAGCTGCCTGGAACACAGTCCCACTGGTCATGTCCAGCTCTTTGCCTTCTGTGAACACAGGCCCACATCTGGGGCAAGCCCACTTACCCGCTTTGCTCAGGAGGCCTTCCTTGGCTCCCCAGTTTTGTCATAGGACCCTACTTTACTCTCTCCACAAGTCCCTTTGTCCTTGTTCTTTGACACTCAACATAGCCCTCTGAACGTATCACATTCTAACTAAATGCATGTTTCCCTGTAGATTTGTTTCAAGCTGCCTTCCCATGAGACAGTCAGGTGCAGGAGGTAAGATGCTCCCCACTGCACCCCAGCCCCTGACACCATGCCTGGCTCAAGAAACATTGTTGAATGAGTGACTTATAGTCACTTTCCATGTGGTTTCGTGTCCCACGGTCGTTCCAGTGCCTGTACTCCACACAGCCATGCTAGCAGCTGTTCTGGGCTTCTGCACATTCCAAGTTCAAGGGGAGCCTCCAAAAGAGAAAACAATCTCCTGTGGCAACAACCCGAGGCTGGTTGTTTCTTATAAGTGCCCTTCTTCCTGGTCTGGTTTACATGCACCATTAGCGGCAGCCAAAGCACTCCATTATAAGTGACTTTAGAAATCGCAAATCATTAAAATTGAAAACTTCCATTTAAGCCAGACTACCCCTTTGTGATGTTAAAGTGGCCCCTCTGTGCTTCCACCCTCTCTCCGTGAGGCCTATTCCAGCTTTTAACCTACCTTGTGGGCTTTTGATTTGGAGCCTCTTGTGCGTCAAGCTGTATTTTCACAAGTGGAGCCCTAAAGCGCTTTAATATTTGTTTGCCAGAATTATTCATTTATTTCTGTATGTTTGGGTAGATGAATTTTCTGCAGCGTCTTAAAAAATAATGCTGTAAACTAGTTCCTTACAGCATTTAAAAAATAAAAAGGCAAAAACAACCATGAAAAATTAACTGAATTAGATAAAATATTTAAATAGTATCAGAAAGCTTAAATGTAAGCACAACCTAAGTCATCTCAAGCAATTCAACAAGAAAAATTAGAAAGCATACTAGATAAGAACGTTGGATAAGGGGTGCAGAAGGTGGATCCTGTTATTTTAAAATTTGAAATTTTTTCATTATTTTTTTATTAGTTTATTCTTTTTTAAATTGATCAAATATTACTGATCCTTCCACAGAAGTTAAACAGAATTATCACAGGAACAGTAATTCCACTTCCAGATATATACCAAAAAATTGCAAAGAGGTACCCCAAAAATATTTGCACATGGATGTTGTCAACAGAAAAGAAGCCAAATCTACAATTTAAGAGGTTAATTCTGAGCCGAATTTGAAGAACCATGGCCCAAAGCCACGTCTAAGAGTCTTGAGCAAGTGGACTTGCTGTGGTTGGGTTATAGTTCATTTTATACATTTCAGAGAGACAGGAATTTACATGTACAAGAAATTATAAATCAATACACGGAAGGTGTACATTCATTTGGCCCAAAAGGTGGGACATCTCACAGGTTATAGGTGGTTTAAAGACCTTTTGATTTAAATTCAATTAAAGAAATGAAGCTTTGTCTAAAGGCTTAGAATGTTTAAGATAAGGAAGTCTCAGCCTGAGCAAGAGCGAGATCATTTCTATATAAATAGAAAGAAATAGTCAAACAATCT